AAATGTAAAGTATCTAATTCTGTATTTGAAATTACTCAAATGTAGCCACGTTTCATTAGAAGATGACAAATGCTGTAGAACTACATAATGAAAGCTGACAGATGACTGGGGTTTATTCACAATTTCTACTCTGCACGCTTAGTGTTAGCACAACTGCAATGTGTTATGTATAAAACCCCAAGCAAATTGTTTCTAAAATATTACAAGGCAACAACACACAATAAAGTAGCAGTTTAAAATATGAGGGAAACATCTGGTTTTAATGTCTAATGCAGCATGTTTTAGGTACTGCTATTATAACTGTTTATTTGACCCTTTTTCAGTCCGGTCATCGTTTATTGTTAAAAGTTCTTAACAAGATGCGTACGGTACTGTGGGATTTTTATCTACCCACTGTTTGTGTAAATAGCATCTACAGTAATAAACTAAATGCACTCTCTGAAAGCATTATAAATGTTTGTTTACTGGAGGCAAACATTATGATTAAGTAGCTCCTAGACCCATATTGAACCCAAGCTTTTTTTACAAAGTTCTCATTGGTATCAATGGGAACTTTTTGCAAAGACTAAGAGTAAGAAACCACCATTTCAGTGCATTATGCCAGTATATCATCCAGGTCACAAATAATGTACTGGAATAATACACTGAAATGGTGGTCAGTTCTTTGCAAATATTTCCCATCAATGTCAGTGAGAATTTTGCATATGTCTGGATGCTTAAACAATTATCTTAAGGGACAGCTGACAACAAACTATAAATTCATATGTGAGTGATGATATAGGGTTTTTGTTTAAATAATTTTAAATGGTTTTGTCAGCAGTTAACAGGAGAACTTGGCCCTGATTCAGGAAATCATCTCTGTTCAGGAAGGGCATTTAAACATGTGCATAACTTTAAATGTATCCGTAAGTCCCAGTGAATTCAATATGCTTAAAATTAAGCATGCACTTAAATGCTTTTCTTAATATGGGAAGTTATTATTTATAATTACTAAAGAATCTGTTTTATTTTGAAGTGGTGGGCCCAATTCTGATTTACGATAAATCCCTTTATACCACTGTGACAATGTAAAGGGACCTTGAAGGGCAGCTGAAGTCCCCTTTACACTATAAAAGGACCGTATTGCATTACATTCTGTTGATGGAAGAGTATTGTGTCTTGTAAACTTTGGGTCAAATCCTGAGAGGTGCGCAACACCTGCAACTACCTTAGGAAGATTAGTTTTTTGCTGTGGTGGCGTAGCCGTGTTGGTCCCAGGATACGAGAGAGAGACAGTAGGTGCGGTAATATCTTTCATTGGACACAGTTGTGTTGTTGGAAGGGACAAGCTTTTGATCTTCACAGTACTCTTTCAGATCACTAGAATAAGTAACTTTTAGGATCTGGCCTTTTGTAAGGATGGATGCCACTGGATTCCAGGATCAGGGGCAGAAGTATTGAAAGAGGATCTTTACTTGCTGGCAGGGCCGGCTCCAGGGTTTTGGCCACCCCAAGCAGCCAAAACAAACAAACAAACAAAAAACAAAAAAAGCCACGATCGCGATCTGCAGCGGCAATTCAGCGGGAGGTCCTTCGCTCCCAGGCGGAGTGAGGGACCGTCCGCTGAATTGCCATCAAATACCTGGATGTGCCGCCCCTCTCCGGAGCAGCCGCCCCAAGCACCTGCTTGACAGGCTGGTGCCTGGAGCCGGCCCTGCTTGCTGAGGATAGAGCTGCACCTAATAAAATGTCAAGGGAGTGTGTGACTAGAGAAGACTGGGCCTATAATACTGACCTACATGATGAAAAACTAATGTTGGAGGAGGGAAATTGATTGGAAGGCAATACCTATGGGTCCAGATTGCACTAGGGATTTCTGCTGCAGGAGAGTAATGTTTGTGAGCAGACTGTGTTTTCCAAAGAACATAGGTGGTGTTTGTACCCAAAGGGGCTCTGGAGATAACAACTCCGGTTGGGGTGAATAGCTGGAAATCAAACAGAGAAGTTTTTTCTGGCTTGCAATGGATAATTATGTTTTGGCTTCCAAGTTTTTCTCTCTATATCTCGACACTAATTTACTTGGTCACAAGGCCCCCACTTCAGCACAGCATTTAAGCATGTGTGTAACTGGAAACTGATTAAAGTCAAGTACATGTTTAAGTGATAAGCTAAGTAGGATGGACTTAAGCAAGTGCTTAATGTTACATATGTGCTTATATGCTTAATTGAATTGGGCCTAATGGGGTTACTAAGTGGTGACTTCTTGTGAGAGAAGCTTTCCCATCTTAGCCAAATTGCTATGCACAGAATCTAAACTGTGTCATTAAGCTACAGGGCTGACATAAAACATAGGGTGAAACCAGCTGTAGTTCATCACCAGGCTAGACCACTGAATCCTTTATTCTATGTGCAAGTTATACTGCCCCTATTCTCACTTGATTCTAGGGCAATACAACCTCATGCAGTGCCTACCTGTCTTTTGCAAGTGTCCCATGTTAAAGTACTTTGTTGTCCAAGCCTTGATAGCTGACAGGATCATAACAAAGTAGCATGTCTGTAGATTGTATAAAAATTCCCTCATGTCTGGAACCGTGATGATGGCCTTGACTTTGATTTGTACCAGAGAAGAATACACAGGACAGATATGAACTATGAGACTCTAGACACTAGATGTGAAGAAAGAGGCTCTGAGTAAGTACTGATAAGAAACTGAACAGAAGTTTTCAGAGCAATGACACTGCACGAGTAGAAAAAGTCCATTGTTCCTTTCTCAC